GCAATATTTAAAAGGTGTGGTAGGTTAAGAAAGGAACAAGAGGATCTCCCCCATCCCTTTCTTTAAAAGCTTTTGCCTCAACTGCCATAGCAAAGCGGGCTGGCCACAAAGGACCAGGGCAGAATGATAGAGGATTTTCCCCCTGTTTTCTGCCCCACTGCTTCTTCCCCCTTGGCATCATAAAGTGTTCAAAATACTTTCCCACGATCTGGTAAAGACTGGTTGGATGGGGGTGTTGATGTCTTTTCTCTAGTTTATGCCTCAACCAAATATTGGAAGCTCAACTCATACGCTTTCTTGCCTAGAATAGAGTCCATCTCTGGAGATATAAGAAAAAGGCTGTTGGTGTTAAAGGGCCACATCCCATGGCTTTTAAAATTACTAAAATCATTATGAGTATGCCAGTCCCATTCACCTCTAAATATGTCTTCAGATGAGGATGGAGGAGCCCACAGTATGAGGTTGTAGTCATGGGTATTTGTCTCATTTGTCTCTTTCATGTCTTAGTTTCGTACTGTTCATTCGGTAGTACAGAATGGTATACCCCCCCTTCTGTACTGAAATATTGGTGAAATGTAAATTAAATGGGAACAGCAACTGCTTGGTTGACTAATTTTTTGAGCTTGGCTGTAGGGCCTGCCAGGGTCTACAGCTGAGTGCGCCACATGCTCAGCGCACTCGGATGTAGGCCCTGGCAGAGCCTACAGCCGAGTGCCAAGCACCACTTACTCGGCCCTCGGCTGTAGGCCCTGGCGCTTTGTTGCCAACGGACTGAAAATATCCAATTTTTTGGACCTTGGACAAAAAAGCTCATTAGGAAAGGCATCCATTTCGGGAAAGATGCTTGAAAATTAAAACAGGGCTGTACGAATGAAACAAACCAGAACGGATTGTGATTCTGTACAACTGCACAAGACTGAGGTTGTGGGGGTGCATTGGAGCAACAAGTGGGATTTATTAAATCAATTATGTTTTAGCTAATCAACACAGTCTAGCCTGCCTTGCATGCATACAGCAGAGAAATTTGTAATAAGTACATTACTGCCAGGCATTACATAAAACTCGGCACAGCACTTATGATTTTTTGTTCTTACTAAGCCTACATTCCATTAATGCTACCAAAACTTCATACAACTAAGTAATGCTGAAGCATACTGTCTAAGGTATTTGGTAAGATAACATTAGCAAATACTGAAAATAAGTGACTCTTTAATATAAGATACATGGTTGTTACACACAACAATGTGAAGGAATATGTGGGTCGTAATGTCTATGGAGGTTTGAATATATCACTATTAGAGGCAATCAGAAGTCCATACAAGGCAATTTCCCAAAAAGCAATTCTTCCATTTTTAAAAAAATGACATGCAGTGTTCTTCTTTGATGAATTTCTGATATGCTTGTTGTGAAGTAATAAGGTTTTCATAAGGTTTTCTACTTAAGAGATTGTCTACTTCATTATTTCCAAACACTAGGGGGAAGTTTCCCTCTCTGCTCATCGTAATTTCTAGTTTGCTTCTTTTCCTCAATGTGTTGTTCATTTTGGATTGTTTAAAGGAAAGTCTCAGTGCATTAAGAAACTGTCTCTATATGAAATAGCTAGGTAAAAGCTGGGGGGGGGGGGAACTAGTGTTCAAAATGGTAACAAGGCATGATCTCAGGATTATGAATAAATTCTGTCTTAAGAACCAAATAAAACAATGAAGGAAAAGTGTCAGATTCTTTTAATGGTACAGTTCATTTTGTGAGCAGGAGTCAGTAATATATCAGATACTGCTGAAGAAATATGCCAGCACAAGGTGTCTGTGTGTTTGTGTGTATCACAAGCAGGAAGACAAGGTAACATGCCTGTATCATTGGTAGAGCATGAATTCAGTCTATTTAGGTTGAACTGGAATCACTCCAAACATCACACCATCTCATTTATATTTGGACCTTCTACAAAATTTGGAGGGTTACAATACTGAGCTGGCAAGCCAAAATTGCTCACTTGCTGTGTCATGCTGGTAATTCATGCTGCTACTCTGCTGCATTCAAGTTGCTGTCACATTATTTTATGATGGAGCCTTCATTATAGCCAAAGCAAGTACAGAAATGTAGAAGATAAACTATACATCAGGAAAACAACACTTTCTTCCTGGCATTCCTATCTAAGGGTTCAACAGCAATTCAATCAACCAAAGAATAATACAAATGTAATATATCTATCAAGGATTATATTAGGCACCCACACATGAAACCTACCGCTACTATTTACTCTATCTTTAGAACTGATTGCATAGAAATTCTTTCTTCAGCTTCATTTCCCATAACACCATAACATTTTTGTGGACAATAGCTTACATATTTTTCTTAGGACTTCTTATGGTTGCTCTTCAACCATTCTATGAAACAATATTAAAGAGAAAGATTACAGAATGATTTCCAGAAATCTGGAATGTTTGCTACTCTTTATTCCCTTGCAGGGGGAAACCACAAAATAACAACAACAACAATGACAACTACTACTACTACTACTACTACTTTATTTTTGTACCCCGTCTCCATCTCCCTGAAGGGACTCAGGGCAGCTAACATATGGCACAATGTGCCTAAAACAGCGCACAAAATAAATACACAATACAATAAAAGATAAAACCAATAGCATATCAAACAATAATTTAAGCTCAAAACAGTGGCCAATAACCCATGGTGAGTACTGTCATAAAACACAGCCGACTGCATACAGGAACAAGGCAATAGGATAGAAAAAGTTGTCACTCATAAACTAGGGCATGGGACAAAAGTGCAGCGTTGTGTCATTAATTGTGGACCATTGGAGCTAGACATTCTCAAAAGATTGTCCAAACATCTAAGTCTTCAGTTCTTTCCAGAAGGAGGACAGTGTGGGCCTGCCTAATCTCCCTAGGGAGGGCGTTCCAAAGCTGGGGAACCACCATCGAAAAGGCCCTCTCATCCCCATCAACCGCGCTTGTGACACGGATCATTGCATCAGGAAAAGATGAAAATCCTGCCTTCTGCAGTTAATAATAATGATAATAGCAATAATTTTATTTTTATCCACCTCTTCTCATGGCTCGAGGTGAGTTACAACATAGCAGTTAAGAGTCCTCAGCAAACATTGAAAAAAACCATGGAGGGCTGGATTTAAAACTATGCAAGACACTGAGTACGATAAGATGGAAATGTATGCTGGAAACAAGCATGCTGAAAACAGAAACTTTTAGTATAAAACATGACAATATGGATTTGAACAATCTGAAAACGTTGATAGCCCTATCACATTTGGTATCACTGATAGCTGACTTACAACTTTGATAAAACTTTGTGTGCTGCTTCTGGAGAAGGTGAAGAAAAGGAGACCAGAATATATCAAAATAGCATTGGCCTTGTCCTGAACCTCCACCCCACTCCCAGACCAGCAAAGGTGCAGAAAATGTCACATAGCAGGCTAAAACCTTTTTATTCAGACATGCTTTTAAAGAAGAAGGTTTTTAAGATCAATTCAGGGCGTGCTGTGGCTTTTAACTTTGAAAATGTTTTAATAGTTTTCAACTGTGAAATTTTAAAATACTCTTTTATATTTAATTCTGTTTTAATGTTTGCATACTTATACATTTTAAATTGCATGCTAATATGTTTATGTGAAGCCACTTTGAGTCTTCTTCGGGAGAGATAAAGCAGGGTGTCAATCAGTGGTGCCCAACCTTTTTTTTTTTTTAACCAGGGACCACTTTGACCAGGGACAACATTAGTACCAAAAGGGTTATGAATCAATTTTTGGTCAACTTTAGATATACTTTGGCTATATGGAGTGCTGATTCAGAAAATTGTATTGGATAGACCACTTACAGTTTCTCTAGTTTCTGATACAGAACATATGCCATCCAGTAATCACCATCTGCTTGTCCACAGAAAACCATATTTAATAATCGAGAGCTGGTGTGGTCTATTCAATGTAATTTTCTGAATTGGCACCCCAAATAACTCCAGGAACAGGTCTAAAAATGAAGATACCAAGGTGCCCCCGCTTTTAGGTGCCACATTGAATGGCTCTGCTCAGGGGGAGGAAGGAGGAGGAGAAGCAGCAGCAGTAAGGAGGCTTGTTGTCTCGCCTTTCGTGGGTAGTCAGACTCTCCTCTCTTGACATCCTCATTGCCTTGGCTCTATAAGAGGATTTCGCTAGACCAGTCATTCTTGTTGCAACAGTGTAGTAACGGTGAGGCCGTGGACCATATTTTAGTTCTTAGGCACTGCGGGTGCTTAAGGTAACTGCGGGTATAAATAAATATAATAACAATAACAGCAGATTGAGTGCTCATTAAGGTTTGAATCCTAAATTTGCCATTAAACTGCATTGAGTAACTTGACATAAATCGTTCTAGGATTGCATTTAGACTGTTTTAGGAGTTTTAATCTGTTTCAAAATGTTTTTGTCTTTGTATTTTTAATTGGTTTTTATTTGTTCCTTGTCTCTGGAGCCCTTGTGGGTGTAATGGTGCTGATGACAGGGTGTTAATACAGGAATAGTATAAACAAACAAGCAACTTACACAGACTTATAGGAATACTTCTTCTGCATAAATCTTGCCAAGAAAACCCAATGATAGGATTGCTGTAATTCAGCATCAACTCAAAGGCACATAACTAAACAACTCTTTTGGCAGCAGCTCTTTAGAACATCAACAGAAGAATTAACACATTTCATGTCCCTCCCATTTTGAGCTAAAATATTGCATCATTTTATGTGGCTCACAGATACATAATCTGCTAAGATCACATAGTTCATGTTAGCATGAAATATGGCATTGCAGAAACAACAAAACATCTATCCCACGTGTCTATTTCTATGGAACTGACACATCTATACTGTTTACCAATATAAAGGAAAAAGGGAGAAGATGGAGGACCTGGAATTGATCCATTGGGAGAAGTGGGTAGGAAACAACAATCACCGCCATCATCATTATATCTGTGTTACAAATCCACATGATCAATCACAAAGTCACCAAATTTGTTGTCACAAAGTAAGCTGCAATGCCTTAACCATATGCATGTGTTTACAGCACACCATGGCCTCTTCTATCTGGATTGAAGTAAGTGTTAATCTTCTCTCCTTTCTTAAAATAAATTTATTTGGTTATCTAATGAGGCAGAATTAACACTGCAGGAAAGTTTAGGCCCTGAGCTGCCAATTTCTCATACTTTCTTAATAAATACTTATTTTTCCCTCCTAGATTAGGAACACATTATAAACCAATTTCAACAAAACGTGAAATTTCTATCTAATTCACATCTTGAATATCTTATAAAGCTAAGGGCAATCAGCTTGCTTTAGCTTTTCCCCCTTCCCATTGCTGGTTTTGATCCAGTTTGTATGGAACTTAGCATGAAATAAATGTGAAGGCTTTTAGGTCCTAACAATCAACATTTTATTTCATTCAAATCGTATCAATTTTATAAATTACAGTCTTTACCAGTCTGACTTTAAATAAAGGGATCATGAGTGAAGCCATCAACATCTGTGTGGGTAGTGCAGAGTAAATTTCCTAGTTTTCTTAATTTTTCTCATTGCACATCTATGTACAAATATCCAGAGAGCATAAAGACAACATATACCGTATTTTAATGAAAAATAACGTCCCAGTTTACTAGATGAAATACTGCAGTAATTCAACAGAAGAAGAAAACATCCAGTCTATAATAAAGGATTTCTTGCTGAATTCATTTTACTCATTGCAATTGGGTCCAATTTACCCAATGAACTACTTTAAATTCATGATGACTGCCAAATTAAATATTTCCAGGTCACTTGGGCCATTTCTCAAATTAGACCCATGTTTATAGTAGTCCTAATATGCCCTCAGTATACTGGTATGAATTACTATTACCACAGTAAATAGGAACAAATCATCATTTTTGCCTTTCCATTTTTTTCATAACCTTTCTTTCATTAGCTTAATGCTATCCTGAATATATTAGAATTTCTTTTGACTTAAAAAAAACCATGATTCTTTCATTAGTTGCCATGAGGCACAATTTATTTTTGCATTCTGGCTTCTATATACATACTGAATGATCAAAATTTTTCTCTTTTTTCTCTGTAAATATAGTGACTATGGAATTTAAAATAACAATTTACATATGAATTCAACGTAACTAAATTTTTGTCCAGTAATCCTGAATTACCATAAACACTCCAAAACAGTTCTGTAATGTTCCCAGTTCAATCACAAAATTAATTGGGTGTTTGAAAGTCTTAACCACCAAGAAAAGAGTATAAAATAGAATCTCATCCACTACAGTACAGTTCAAGTTGCAATTTTTTCTGTGTATAAATGAAATCCAAGATGCCCACAGTCTTTCACATGCCAGGAGAAGCTGATGTCCTTTAAATGAATCCCATATAGTAACTAACTGTGAACACAAACAATGTAAGGATACTGGTACATCTAGTCTTTGCAGATTTAAGAACAACTGGTAGATATCATTGGGTAAAGGTTTTCCCTGACATTAAGTCTAGTCATGTCCGACCCTGGGGGATGGTGTTCATCTCCATTTCTAAGCCAAAGAGCAAGTGTTGTCCGTAGACACCTTCAAGATCGTGTGACCAGCATGACTGCATGGTGTGCCCTGTAGATATCATAGTTTTCGAAATACTTACAGTAGGCCCTCCTCTTCTGAAAGGGTTAGGCAAAAAGGACCTGACAAAAGTGGGTAAAGATGTATTTTAAAACCCCTCTCTAACAATCTCTAGGTCTTCCAATGTGATTCTATGGTCAGCTTCAACCAGAAGCTGATCACAGAATTGTGCTGGAGGATCTGAGCAGTAGTTCTCAACCTGGGGATCGTGACCCCTGGCGGGGGGAGGGTTGAAATACTGTTTGACAAGGGTTGTTGCGCTGCCTCCTTCAGCCCCACACAATGAAAAGCAGGGAACATTTTTAGGCAAGCAAGTCCTTGAAACAAATAGATTACAAAGAAAATCTAGGGCATATTGGAGGATAGCCTGGGGAAGAACGAGTTCTTTCTATCCACCTTCTGAAAAAGATTACATTTAACAAACATTTGTAAAAACTAGTTTATCATGGCTTACCTACTATAAAGGAGTACGTATGACAGCTGTTTTAGCACAACACCACAAATATGATATCATAGGCATCACTGAAACCTGGTGGGATGACTCCTATCACTGGAATGTAGACATCGAGGGCTATAACCTCTTTCACAGAAACCGAACAAAGGGGAGAGGAGGCGGAGTAGCCTTATATGTCAAAAACTCTTATGCTGCAGAAGAAATGCATGACAGCAATCCGGGAAACCAGCTTGAAAGCATCTGGATAAGAATCAAGGGAACAGGGACTCAAAAAGATCTTGTTGTAGGAGTCTACTACAGACCTCCAAGCCAGGAGGAAGAACTTGATGAAGTCTTCTGCCAACAGTTGACCAAACAGGCACAGAGAAGAGATGTAGTAGTCATGGGCGATTTCAACTATCCCGATATTTGCTGGAAAACAAACTCGGCCAAGAGTACAAAGTCCAACAAATTCCTCGCTTGCCTTGCAGACAATTTCATGGTCCAGAAGGTAGAAGAGGCAACAAGGGGATTGGCTACTCTTGATCTCATCCTAACAAATGCGGAGGACATGATAGATGCAGTTGAAGTGGTAGGATCCTTAGGGGCAAGTGACCATGTGCTCCTGCAATTTGAGGTACAAAGAAAGGTCGAAACTAAGACAAGTCAAACCCGCATTTTGGACTTTAGGAGAGCTGATTTCCAAAAAATGAAGGAAACACTGAGCAGCATTTGTGGACACAGATACTAAAAGACAAGGGAGTTACGGATGGATGGGAGTTTCTCAAGAGTGAAATACTCAAGGCGCAGTTGCAAACCGTGCCAACAAAAAGAAAAAATAGGACAAGTGCAAAGAAGCCAGAATGGATGTCCAAAGAACTTCTAACTGTGCTGAGACACAAAAGAGACATGCACAAGTGGAAAAAGGGAGAAATCACCAAAGAAGAATTCAAACAAATAGCCAACACCTGTAGGGAAAAGGTCCGCAAGGCTAAAGCACAAAACGAGCTCAGGCTTGCCAGGGACATTAAAAACAATAAAAAGGGATTCTTTTCTTATGTCAGTAGAAAAAGGAAAAACAAGGAGGCGATAGGGCCTCTTCGAGGAGAAGATGGGGCAATGCTGACAGGGGATAGGGAAAAGGCAGAATTACTTAATACCTTCTTTGCCTCAGTCTTCTCACAAAAAGAAAGTCATCTTCAACCTCAGCAAGATGGAGTGGATGAGGGATTTGAGGACATCCAACCCCAAATTGGGAAACAAGTCGTCCAGGAATACCTGGCCGCTCTAAATGAGTTCAATCCCCAGGGCCAGATCAACTACACCCAAGAGTATTGAAGGAACTAGCGGAAGTCATTTCGGAACCATTGGCAACCATCTTTGAGAGTTCTTGGAGAACGGGAGAAGTTCCGGCAGATTGGAGGAGGGCCAATGTGGTCCCAATCTTCAAGAAGGGAAAAAAGGATGACCCAAACAACTACCGTCCGGTCAGCCTCACGTCGATACCAGGCAAGATTCTGGAAAAGATTGTTAAGGAAGTGGTCTGCAAACACTTAGAAACAAAAGCGGTCATTGCTAGTAGTCAACATGGATTTATAAAAAACAAGTCATGCCAGACTAATCTGATCTCTTTTTTCGATAGAGTTACAAGCTGGGTAGATGTGGGGAATGCCGTGGATGTGGCGTACCTGGATTTCAGTAAGGCCTTCGACAAGGTCCCCCATGACCTTCTGGCAAGGAAACTAGTCCAATGTGGGCTAGGCAAAACTACGGTGAGGTGGATCTGTAATTGGTTAAATGGACGAACCCAGAGGGTGCTCACCAATGCTTCCTCTTCATCCTGGAAAGAAGTGACGAGCGGAGTGCCGCAGGGTTCCGTCCTGGGCCCAGTCCCGTTCAACATCTTTATTAATGACTTAGATGAAGGGTTAGAAGGCAGGATCATCAAGTTTGCAGACGACACCAAATTGGGAGGGATAGCCAATACTCCAGAAGACAGGAGCAGGATTCAAAACGATCTTGACAGATTAGAGAGATGGGCCAAAACTAACAAAATGAAGTTCAACAGGGACAAATGCAAGATACTCCACTTTGGCAGGAAACACGAAATGCAAAGATACAGAATGGGGGACAATGCCTGGCTCGAGAGCAGTACGTGTGAAAAAGATCTTGGAGTCCTCGTGGACAACAAGTTAAACATGAGCCAACAATGTGATGTGGCGGCAAAAAAAGCCAATGGGATTTTGGCCTGCATCAATAGGAGCATAGTGTCTAGATCTAAGGAAGTAATGCTACCCCTCTATTCCGCTTTGGTTAGACCACATCTGGAATATTGTGTCCAATTCTGGGCACCACAATTCAAGAGAGATATTGACAAGCTGGAATGTGTCCAGAGGAGAGCGACTAAAATGATAAAAGGTCTGGAGAACAAGCCCTATGAGGAGCGGCTTAAGGAGCTGGGCATGTTTAGCCTGAAGAAGAGAAGGCTGAGAGGGATATGATAGCCATGTATAAATATGTGAGAGGAAGCCACAGGGAGGAGGGAGCAAGCTTATTTTCTGCTTCCTGGAGACTAGGACGCGGAACAATGGCTTCAAACTACAAGAGAGGAGATTCCATCTGAACATGAGGAAGAACTTCCTGACTGTGAGAGCCGTTCAGCAGTGGAACTCTCTGCCCCAGAGTGTGGTGGAGGCTCCTTCTTTGGAAGCTTTTAAACAGAGGCTGGATGGCCATCTGTTGGGGGTTATTTGAATGCGATGTTCCTGCTTCTTGGCAGGGGGTTGGACTGGATGGCCCATAAGGTCTCTTCCAACTCTTAGATTCTATGATTCTATGACTCTCAGTCTAACAATAAAACCACTGGAGCAAAGCATCCACACTTCTCGGGCAGAAGGAAGGTTAACTGGAATTACTCCATGCATTTGGTCAGGAGTAAAAACTATTCAAAAGTTAATTAATTTGCCTTTTACTTACACTGTGACTTTTCCTTCTCTACATCTTCAAGATGATGATGTGCAAAAGGCTCAAAACTGCACAGGGTTTAGGAGGGAAA